TTCGGTCTCTGCTGCAGCTGTTGTGGTTGTTGTGACTTCGGCTTCTGCTGTAGCTTCGACCTTCAACTTCAAGCCCGCAGTGGCATTCAGGTAGGACATCACCTTAAGGCCGATCTGGTACACCTTGACCGGTCGTTTGGTGGTCATTGCGGCCATATAGTTCGTAGCGTAGAGGATATCAGGACGGGTACGATAGGCCATCCAAAGGCACTCTCCAGTCACCTTCTGGGCCATCATCAGCTCCGACGAACTGTAGTTCTCCTCCTCTGCCTCCGCATCGTCCTCCTGAATCCACTCCTTGGGACAAGGAAGTCCCGCGCTGACATCGACATCCAAACCATGCAGACGAACCAAGTTGGCAATGTAAGCCTCTTGGGAGAGGGTAAAGAACCCTTCCTCTTGCTTGAGCTCCATTCCCAAATACCTCAGGCCATCCGTCGCATACTCCAAGGGAGAACAGGGCCAGATTGCCCCAATCCTTCCATGCAGGAGGTTGATCACCGGGTTGTCGGCCAGGTAGAGGATATCATCCACATAAGTCACAAGGATGCCCTTCAGGGTTGGTTGGCCACCCGCCTTAGGCTCCTCCAGGATCATCCACAGCTCACTGTCCGTCATCATTTGCTTCAGGAAGATCCGCCCATCTCCGTTTTCCACCACCAGCTCCTTGAGGACTTCGGTCCTGTGAGCTGCCCATAGTGCGGGACTTTCCCGCAATCCGTAGAGCGCTCGCTTCACGATGAATACCACCTCCGGTTCCACCAAACCCGCTTGCAGGAGAACCTTTGGGGGCAGCACTCCGTAGGTTGGCCGATTCGTTGGCCATAGCGCCTGCAGAAAGGCCGCAGAAACATCCGTAGATGCCACACTCCAGGACATATAGCAACTGCAAGGGCGAGAGCTAGCCGCAGTCCTTCGGCACTTGCTCCGGCCGCAAAGAGGTCGTTAGGATCGTGCCATTGTCCAGCATAGTTGCCACATATCACCACCCTGGCCTTGCGCTTCCAGCGTGGCTGCTGCTCCTTGGGGGCCGTTGTATCTGGTGGGGGTGGTGGCTTGACTGTGCACACGACCTTCCCCGGGATCAGGATGAGTTTCCCCTCACGCTCCAGTGCCCTGGCTTCTGCTATGGGTCGTCGCTCAATCGCATCCGTCTTCTCCTCGAGGTTCGCGAGTTCCTTCCTCAAGGGATCGACCCATTTGTCCAGGTTGCGCCTGACTTGGTCGAGCGGAACATCCAGCATGACATCCAGGTCCTTCTTGAGATTGGACAAATACTCCTCGATGTCCCCAATCTCCTTGTCATCGTTGACATTGGCCACCTTCAGGTACAAGTTGTGGCACTTGTCCTCGGTCTTCTGAATCTGCTCCTCCACATCCTTAATCAGGTCGCGAACTGCACCGTTGACACCCTCAATCTCCTCGTTGATGGCCTCGCCCACAATATTCAGCTCTTCAGCAAGGATCTCCTCCTCAGCCAGGAACTCACGCAGCCACTCACGCCTCTCCTTGAGACGATTCAACACATCATCTTGTAGTTGCCGGAGTTCCCTACTGACATCCCTTGCCCTTTCGCGCTTCTCCTCCTCGACCTCGTTGACCAGAAACATCACCGCCTCAGGTTCATCCTTGGCCTCAGTCATAGTCAACATCTTCAGCACTGACTGTTGTAGTTGATCAGGTACGCGAGGTGGTAGAGGAGGTGGATTGAAGCCAAACTCGCAGAGGGTCTCGTAGGCGTCGGGTTTCATGCTTGTAGTTCTTGGAGTGTAGGCCGTGATAACCAATCTCGTTCCCGTCCAGGGTTCTGTGGCGTGGTAGCGCTTGGGGTTGATCTCCAAAGGAACGCCAGGTTGTAGCTCATGAACACGGCCTCTTCTCCATCCCCCCTTGGGCAATTCCCGCCACTCGTCATCGTAGCTGTAGGTATCGGGGGAAGACTCAATCCATACACCTCCGCCTTCATTGCATTGTTGTAGAGGAAGTAGCCAGTTGCTTCGGGCCCCATTGTTGTGAACATCACGGTGGCACTTCATGCCTACATTCTCGGTGAGGAGCAAGGCTGTGAAGTCGTCCCTCCCAGTCATCTCCTTGAAGGCTCGCACCAAGTAGGAGGTTGCTGCGGGGTGGAGGTACGTATCGTTCACAATCCCACATTGGCTTCCGTAGGTGTACTGGCCAATCAACCATTGAAGGCCTTCTCCTTGGGTGGTCCTTGAGGTCGGTCTGGCCTTGGCCTTGAGGTGTTTCCACAACTCAACAACATGCTCGGGCTTGAACTGGTTGTTGTCGAGGAACGATTTCGCGAGGTTGTCGATGTCGTTGTTGGCGTCCACGAGGGCCTTAGCCAAAGTGGTTTTTCCCCTAGTCCTCCGTTCCGGTAGTGGAAGTTCAACCTCATGAGGTCCAAGCTGCACCAGATCGTCCGAATCCACCAAGTAAGGTCTGATGTGGACTGAAGTCGTGTAGGAACCATCTCCATGACGTACCACACGGCCGCTCTTCACATCATTGGAGTAGCCCACAAACAAGCCCTCCTTCCACCGCTCCAGTAGGTCATATCGCCCGCCCTCACCGAAACGCTTGTACTTCACGTGCGTCGGGGCTCCAAAGGCGAGGTCCTTGTCCTCATAGTTCCCTAGGGCCAAATCCCTTTGTCGCCTTGCTGCAAACTCAGCTGCCACCGGCCAACACGTGGCTGGGAGGCCCGAGGTCCTGAGTAGGACCTTCACTCTGCGCTTAATCTCCCGGACCAAAGCCTCAGCTCGTCCGTTTTGCTGCGGCTGCTGGCTCTCCCCAGTGGTCGCCAAGATGTCCCTGTCTGCCATCCAGCTTCGGGTCTCCTTGGCCTTGAGCTCCAGGCCGCGGTCGGAGTGTATCCGCACAAGAGGTAGCCCATGCTGGCGGAGTTGAAGATAGATGTGCTGGATCTTCGCCCGCACCTCCTTGGATGTGCGGGATGTCATCGGGACCGCAAAGTTGAGCGTCTGGCACTCAATGTCGTCACCGATGTCCTTGTAGATCCGTTTGAACCTCTCATTGAGGGCCTTCTGCTCTTCATCCTCCTCCTCAGGTGGCTCATCGGTCTTGTCCTCCTCCTCAAAGGGGTCCAGCTCCGGCTCGATGTCGTACTCCTCTTCAACCGCAGGCATCTTGTGGTCCTTGGGCAGATCCAACCTTGGATGTGAATAAGCCCCAACCAACAGGTACCGGAACTTCTTGCCTTCTTGGGATTCCCCTCGAGTCCTCATAGGGCCGCAAATATCCAAGGACAACGTGTAGGCGCTCGGGGTCAAACACCGTCGATGCGCCCTTCCTGTTGCACTTCCCCGGACACAGGTCTGGCAACGACGATCGTAGGGGACGTGGTTGTTGCGCACGTGGGTTTCCCAATAAGCAAGGTCCTTTGCATTGAGTTCCCGGGGGCCCACAATTTTGCACAAGGTCGCCTCATGCCTTCGTAGATCGCTGCGGCGCCAGTTGAGTATGGCCTGGGCAATACCAAGTTTCAAAGGTACCGGCCAAGAAGGAGCTGGGGTTTCATAGTTCAGGCTCATGATGGCTGCTTCCTCAATGTCCATCCCATCCGACAAACCCAATGAGGACGCCATGAAGTACATGTTGCCTGGTGTTCCAACTGAGTGGTACTTGAGGAACCGCATCTCGTCCTTGAACTTGATCCATGCCGAGCTCGTCCACAGAGGATGCCAAGTGGGAGCTTCCATACAGAAGAAAGGTGCGCACAGGGAGTTGAGAACCGCACCGGAGTTCGCCACCAGCCAAACCAACAACATTCTCTTGAACAGCGCCGGGCCATGTTCGGCACCTCTGGGGGGCGCCCCGATGATACCCTCAATCTGGCCCCTGGCCGCTGCCCACAGAAGCAGTCTCGCAGCTGGTCCATATGTCCTGAGGTCATAGGCTTTGGAGTCTCGCACGTCCATTCGGATCACCGTCACATCCTCCGACTCGGCTCTGGCAAACTCTTCCCCCTTTTCATCCCCATTGTACAAATGAACCACCCATCTGGTCTTCAGTAACCGCTTTCTCATAGCCCTGTTGATGGGGAGGGACTTCAAGTAGTGGGCACCCGCCTCATCGGACAACAAAATGCGATCATCGACACCGATCAGGCCCACAACCTCCGCTTCGGCCACTGCATCCACAGGGGACTCCTCGTCCAGAAGCATCCTCCTCAAGCTGGCCCGTTCGCCCCTTTGCACAAACTCCTCCAGGTGATCCAGCCATGTAAGTTGAGGATCCTCGGTTGACATCATCTTGAGAACCCCGTCCGTGTTGTTCTTCTCCAGCTTGTCGAGCTCCAGCTGCTCCAGGTCCGCTATCAGCTGGAGCGCTTCGGCCTCGCGGAGGACCGGGGTGTTGCCCACCAGCTTTGTTGGCAACAATCCGTGCTCGGGGTGCGTTATGCGGAGGCCCTTTCGTTTGCTCCAGTCCAGCTTGCATCCCAAAGAGCTCACCAGGCTTCCCAAAGGAAGGATTGTCCCACCACTGTCGTCCTCCGCCAGCAATGTGCCTCCCTTGGTTTGCCGAAGGAATACATGGCGTCCATCCGCGAGCTGCACCTTGACCTGCTTCGCCTCCTTGGTCTCCTCAAGCGTTTTGGGGGCCCGATAGGCATGTGATGCCCCGCTGTCCAACAGAGCCATGCCATGGCTCTCCCCAAGGCCTTGGGAGCTTAGCAAAAGCTCCAGATCCACCACGGCGTTATCCGTGACCGCCTGCAAAGGTGCGAGCCTCTTGATCTTCGCGAGGAACTGCTCCGCCAACTCCCTTATCTCCCCATTGTTGCTCTGCTCTGACAACAACACTGTAGACGCAGCTGAGGAAGAACCACTAGACCCCGACGTCGGCTGTGTAGAAGTGGGTCCCAAGTAGTAGATGTTGTTGTCACCTGGGCGTGCGTCGGCGAGGGATTCTCAAGCGTAGAGGTTGCTGAGGTGGAGGCCGTAGGCGGGATAATCGTTGAGGGCTGGGGGTTGTTCAGGGTCGCAATCTGCGCTGGTGACGTAGTTGATGTCGTTGAGTTCCCTGAAGCACGGTGTTCTCCACCTCCCTTTGAGCCCTTCTTTCCTCCAGACTTCGTCGGACACTCCTGTTGCCTGTGGTTGACACTGCCACAGGTCCAGCATCTCGCCTTCTTGTCCTCCTTCGACGCGAAGTTGTGGGCGTACTTGCAATTTGACCCCCTCCGGCATCCCTCGTCCGTGGACCAAAACTTGCAAGGTGACTGCTGCTTCTGGCCCTTGCCAGTTGGGGAAGTAGCCGCTGACGAGGGCGCGTGGTTGTCAGTGGTCACACCCTTGAGCTTGGCACCCTGGTCCTTGCCATACGGTATCACCTGCTGGAGCTCCGCAATGACATGGTCGGCGTACGTCAACACCGAGGACAAGGCTGGTTTATACCTAGACCATCCTTTTGTATGTTTATTTCTGCGCCTCAGAATTTCCATACGGGGTGAGGGATACCTGAGATTTCCACGTGTGACATAAATTTTCGTTCGGGCTTGTAGCCTACTCCTGTAAGAAGTCAATCTGGAGATATATACCTGATGAATCCTGAAACAACCTTCCCCTTCATCCGCCACGATCATCTTGGCTTTCTTTGCCCTGGCAACGATATACAGCCGGGGACTGAGCTTTTTTTGGCGTCTCACAGGTACTCGCGAGTCCACTGTTTCTGGTACAGGAGTAAGCAAATACGAAGTGTGCGTATTGCCACAGTAGCATTCGATTGTCTTCTGGAAATTCTAGCACATCTGCCAACGAAGTCTTCATCCATCCAGCAGCACATGCCTTGGGATAGAATCGAAAGGATTTGTTGTCTTCTACATAAACTCAAGGCAAATCTGTTTCGAGGATGCAGGCAGAGGGCACATTGGATTGAAGATGGATTGGAGATTGTTCTGCACCTGGATTTCGATGTCTCTCCTAAGTAGGACTTGGCAGCAGGTTTGCAACTTTCATGCATATAGGGCAGGGCATGTGAGAAAATTGGCCAAGCATCGTAATGTGCATCTGCATATGCAGCTTCGGCTTGATTCGGAACAGAGGCCAGCTCCGGAGAGCTGACTCAGAAGCGAGGGCTCCCACTCCCTCCTCAGCCAACTGGCATTTCTATACATGACTAGCATGACTAGCTATAAAAACCTATACTTTCTACCATTAGACAAACAACATCCCAGGTGCAACTGAGTAACTGTCATGTTCCACCCATGAACAACAAGGCGCTTAGCAGCATCACGAGGTATCCAGACGCCATATTGATTCATCCCACGAAAGAAAGCATTGCTACTGGATATCGTCCATTGCAGAAGCCGGTACAGCTCTCGCAAACCAGGTTCCTGAATTGATTATCTGAATTGCAATGGATTTCAACATAAAACAACCAATACGGCATTGTTAAATTTCAGTGCAGCTACAGGTCCACTCGTTGATCTCCCTCGTCAATCGACAGGAAGTCCTCTAGCCAACTGCAAAGTAGAATAGTGTCGAATCCTTTGCCCGTTCCAGATGGCCAGTTGCGTAGCCTCAGGAAATCATTAAATAATATAGGGCCGGCACAGACACAGATAAGGCTAATCTAAACACTTCAAGCTGCAAACAACATGAGGTGGGCAACGTCTTCATCTTGAACTTCAGGAGAGAAAATCCTTCGATGCTGCTTGTCTTGCCATTAGCTTGTAGCCACCGGACAAAAGATTGGTAGAGGCTGTTCAAGATGACTTGGGTCGAGCCCCCTTGGACCACTTTCATCCGCACTAGCAATATAACGCTCGAAGATGCCATTCCTGATCCAAATCCTTGAATAGCGAAAGTGTGCGCCGGGTCCGTTCGGCAGTACCAGGGATCATTTCCACCCGGAATGTCTCGCAGCGGGCTGCGGTGGGTTTTCCACGGTGGTGCAACAGGAAGGTCGCGGGTCCAGTTTCTTATGGCCGAGTCTGGGGTTGTGTTGTACCGATCCTTCGAGATCTATAGGGTTATAGGGGTGTGATTAGAAATTATATAAAGTAGATGAAATAACTATAAAAGTTATGGGATTTCAGAGAGTTCATAAAAAAGGGGCTCTAGAGCTAGCTTACTAAATTAACAGTCAGAACCTACAATACCTAGAATTTGGGATACATATAATCACGGGCTACCCAGTTATATAGACATTATTTTTCAAGTACAGAACAATTATATAAGATTTGTAAAGTTGGCAAATTGACGCAGCCTCTTGCTCACACATGTGGCAGATACGCCTTGAAGAGAATCCAGTCTCTAAGCAAAATGCTTTTCGCAGCCACACCCAGTCTCCCTTACAGCCGAGCCAGGCACAGTGGAACTTGATGGTCTGACCACCACTCACAACCTCAAACTGTTCCCGACCAACTTAGATAACAAGAATAGCACTAGTTGAGAGCAACAGTACTTTGTAGGCAAGCTACCTCGATCCCATCACGTAGAAGAGACAAGCAGTCCTGGGATAAATCCTCCAAGAGCTGGAAGATCGTAGTGTCCCCCCGGTAGCATCTAGCAGGCAGCACCGTGTAAAGGAGTCTGGAGCAGAATGAATGCCTTGGCCAGGCACACATGAATCATGCAGCCAACTCGATGTTGCATGCATAAAAATTCTAATGAGCCATGTGCTATATTACATAATTTTGACAAAGCCACCCACTCTGGTTAAGTCTCTCCACACCAAGATGGGACAGCACCCCCTGAAACGCCAGTATCAGCAAAGGTTGTTTGAGGCGGCCTCTGCCCTCATCCCCATGCAGCATGAAAGGCAGGGTTCGTCTGCGATTCATGCCCAGCTTGAACACAACGTGTCCAGGATCTACGTGTAAATAATTGTTCCAGAACCCTTCCAGAATAGGCTCCCATAAGTCGCACTGAGCGGTCGAGTGGCCGGCCAACAAAAGTTGACCTCCCTGTTCCTGCAAAATAAACCGAATCCAGTTCGACAGCCGAATAACTGGCCACGGGACCTTGTTCAAATCCCTGCGCTTAGTGGCGTGCTTGATGTCAATGTTGGTAAAGCTGATCTGAACTTGCAGCGTAAACTCCTTGTGTGTTAGCAGGCGGTGTAGGTTGCGGCACACATTGGCTTCATCTTTGGCTCGGGCACACTTAGCAAGTTTCTGCAGCATCGGATCACGGATTCCTTTCAGGGCTGCATTCTGGAAGAGCTTGCAAGCATGCACATTATTGGGAAAAGGAATGGAAATCATTGCCTCGCTTAGAGAGCTTCTTGTCAAACTTCTTTGCAAGGCGACAGGTGCGGGTCGCTGAGTCAGCCTCGGGTATATACATACACCTATATAGCATGTATACGACTCCTAGACCTATGCCTTGACCTCATTGCACCCATACTGGTTTCAACACTAGCTGTCCCCATCCTAACTTCATGAGTCCAGGGGCACCAGAAGCCAAGCCCATCAGGAGCTCATCCAAAAGATCATCTTCGGACGATGCTTCATCACCGCTTCCAGGACCTGGGCAGTTGAGTGCTTTCAAATTATTGTTGTGGTGAAGGCTTCTCGTAGTGAGTTGCAGAGTTAGAGTAAGGCCTAGGCCTATGACGATGTCTGCACATTCAACATCAAGACCTGCGAGAGGGAGTGACATGCACACAAAGCTGAAGCCCAACTGCAGACCTTTGCACGACTCACAGGCTCATCACTTTTATTGTGCATGGCTCACACATCCCCCAGAACACTAGGGCACTTCACAAGCGTCGCACGAATTGCGATGCAGAGCTGACAAGTTGGATCGCACAACAGCAGCATCAAAACATCTCACATTTTGTGAGTAAAAGTCTACTCAGCGCCCTTGCCCCTTCTCCTCTTGTTGGGTGCAGACTTTCCCTTTGGCGCTGGCCGTTTCGAGGAGGCTTTGGCGGCGGGCTTGCCAGTTCCCCCCTTGATGCTCCTGATGCTGGCTTCGGGTGATGACAGCATACAGCTACAACTGCTTGCAAGTAAGGCACTTGGCTCGAGTAACCCAGTTGTTCAGGGAAAGATCGGTCTTGGTGCACTGGATGAAGATTTGCAGAGCCTCCTTCTTAAGCCTCCCAGTGGCCCGATAAGCCCCAGCAACGATACACAGTGCACAAGATGCAGGACTTGCAATGATGATCAGCAACTTGCCTCTACACCTCGTCCGGCTTACTTTCAGTCGCGACATTCGCTTGGAGCTTTGTCAAGTCCTTGTAGTGCTTGTTCAGATCCCCGAGGGATTGCCCCACACTCTCAGCTAGCCTGAGATGGTTCACATGGGTTCATGTCAGCAGCATGCATTAGCTAGGTCCCGACATAGTTAAGCAGCGACTTGACCTTCTCACCCGACTTGCCTCCCTTCGCGGTCACGGCATTGTCTAGCCGCTCCTCAGGGTATTAAGCATGCTGACACACCTCAGCTGAAGACATGTGCAAAAAATACACAGAGCAGCTTGAGCAATATCCTTCACTTGCTCTGCCGAGTCAATCTTTTTCCCCAACACAGCTATGTATTGGGGGAGCATTGTCAAAGGCGACGTGTTTTGCTGAAGGCTCGGGAAGCAAATCCTTAATTGATTCCATCATTTTGAGCTGCGATAAGTCAAGCTGAGCGGACATTTAATTGCAGTACCAAGCAACTTGAAGGATGCACCCCCTTGGGCTGCAGCTTCAGCATCTGAAATGCCTGCACTGCCTGATGCAGCACCCTGACCAGCCAAACTGAGATCCTCATTCTCAGGGGCGAGGAGGGCCCCATCCTCGTCCTCAGTTAAATGAAGGCTGACTTGTACAAATACACGTACAAACACAACATGGCTAAAAACACAGAGAGACACTGATGTAGTAAAACAGTCCATGGCTGGCAGAAAAGACACCTTCATGATGAAGTCACTCTTGAATGACACACGGTTTCCTGTGGTATCCGTCTTCTTCCAAAAGGTTTTGTAAGGGATGTCGGCTTCCTCGGCCCCATGGATCGGATTCTTGATGAGCAGGCCCCGGGCGCGTGCCCAATCCCACGCATTATCACACATGGTCCTCACTAGGTTTCATGCAGAAGTAGACTGAGTATTGTCCATGCAGAACATCTAGCAAGATCTGATTCAGTAGAAGACACTTTGTCCATTTCTCCGTCTCCATCAGCCACTCTTTGGTGACCGGTCCACCAAGGGCGGCCTTCTGCTTCTGCTGCTCATGCCACCTCTCGAGATGGCCCTCGACTTGCTGAAAGGTGCCGTGCTCCATCAAGAGTTTTCGCAGCTTCTCTCCTGGGTTGTAGGTGTTGGAGGGCTAATCTGAGTGTTTGGTGGTTTGGGTTCTTAAAGGGGCTTCAGCTAACATTTTGTAGAGCTTGCAGGCTTTTTGTAGGGAGTTGAGCAAGCATTGTGTACGGCTTGCAGGCTTTGGCTATATATAGAGATAATTATGATATATGGTTTGTTTGATGGGGGATTTATTATGATATGGTTTGTTTGAGGGGGAATTACTGGCTTGTAGAAATAAAGACAGCACCTCCTAGGCTCAAGTCGTAGTGTGGACCGCCCCCAAAAAAGTTATAGAATCACTGCGAACATGAAAGGAGGTGCGGCCATCTGAAGTTTTCCCCAGTTCAAGGATCTGGGGCGTAGCCTTGACCTCACCCTTCGAGTTCGGCTTGCAATATCGCCACACCCTTGGCTTGTGTATTTGTAACACTCTAGGCAGCACTTCTATAGGTAACATGCAACATACAATGCTTGTCTTTTGGGCAAGAAACTTCCAATAACCCTCAGGTTTAGGCGCTTGGGAGGCTTGGGACGGGGTTGGCTTTCTGCTGGGAGCAAACAACTGCCTTGCAAGTGGTGGACTCCGGGCTTTGCTGGGCTTGGGGGTGGTCTTGCGGCTGGCAGATGTGACACTCTTGCTTTCTGGCGTCACCAAGTCGAGGGAGGGGCTTGATGCACTGTTTGCAGGGGTTGCCTCCCTGGCTGTCTTCTTCTTCTGCTCCGGGCTGGGGGTTGCAAGGTCGATCGCTTCGAACATGCTCGGGGTCGCAGCACGCTCCAAAGCTTCACCCAACTTTGAAGACTGAGCAAGCATTTTCACAGATTCAGTCAGCTTTGGCTTCTCAGGGGATGGGCCATCTGATTCCCTTTGGGTCGGCGTCAGTGCTTGAGAGGTCTCAGAGGTGGTGGCAAGCTGTCCTAGGGAGCACTTGGCGCTACCCGGAACATGCGAAGCTCCGCTGTCGAGGGCGATGGATGGAGCACCTTGCATCCAGAGGAAAGGCCGGGGTTTTAGCTGGCTTTGGAACACACACACACACACACCTACTTACCTACCTACCTACCTGCCTGCCTACCTACCTACCTACCTACTTACCTACCTACCCACCTGCCTGTCTACCTACCCACCTACCTAGCTACTTACCTACGTACCTCTTACCTACCTATCTTCTTTCCTACCAACCTACCTGTACATACCTACCCACCCACCTACCCACCTACCCGCCTATCCACCTACCCACCTACCTACTTAACGACTTGCCTACCTACCTACCTGTGTTACCCCCTCAGAATTGGGAGTAAGAAGCCTTTTTGCAAGACACAAGACTAAAAGTGGAAGCCTGCTTGCCTACTACCCGACCCCACCTTACCCTACCCCACCCCACCCTACCCTACCCTACCCTACCCTACCTCCTTAGGGTTGATGGTGTAGGGTTGAGGGTTTAGGTAGGGGTTTATGGGTTTAGGGCTTTAGGGTTTGGGGGGGCGGGGATCCCCGATTCAAAACATCACAGTCACAGATAGTGATATTTTGCTTGGGTTGAGGGTTTAGGGGTTTATAGGGTTTGAGGGTTTAGGGTTGATGGTTTATAGGGTTGAGGGTTTAGGGATTTAGGGGTTTACGGTTTTATGGGTTTAGGGCATTAATACAGGGTTTAGGCACTCAAAGCAGTCCTCACACCATTCGAATTCGAAGGCCATAAACCCTGCACGCTCCACTTGGTATCCTAAGCCCTGCTCCAAACCCTACTATTCTATTCAGTATTATTCTATTCATTATCCCAGACCCTTGAACCCCTAGAACCGAAACCCCTAAACCCTATCCCTATAAATAAAACTTGTGGTTCCAGCCCTCGTCATGCTGACTTCCAGAACTATGTGGCCCCCCACAACGAAAGGTCGTGTTGCTGACTGTATACAATGCCCCATACAGGGTTGGGAAATTTGGCTTGGGAGGGTCGGCATTGCCTCCAGGTTTGCAGGTGCATTCTTTGATAGGGTTGTTGTGTTTGCTTAGAGACATACACACATACATAGATTATATATATATACATGTATATATTTTATACACACACATACACATGTTCTTCTTTGCTAGGTTGTTTAGGGAACACACTATGTGTAGAGGGTTGTTGACTAGGCCAATCTTCCCTATCCCAAACAGCCCACCTGGTACCGGCTCGGGGATCGGCTCTGCATCAACTTGCTTGAAAGCAGCTTGAAGGTTTTCGACCTCCTTCTGTGCAGCCTGGGATAGGGTCTGCATGAAACAGAAACCGGCTCAATGATGTTTGATTTTCCAACTACATGCATTGCTTATGCAGCTGAAGCACGAGGATTTGAGCATCAATCTCCGAATCAGGCAAAGCTGACAAGTCACTCCAGCTTCTGCCCAGCATGGCAACTCCCTCGTTCAGGCTTTCTAAACTAACCATCGATCACACCCTACAGAACCCCTGAAGTCTGTACGTTGTCAGATCAGACACAGTGATTGAACAGTGCACAGATGTGGCAAGTCTGGTGCCATGTGCAGCAGCAGGCAGAACCCATATTTTCACGGAAAGGATACAAGCTCTTTCCTGAGGTTCCGTCGCCATCGAAACCATAGCAAACTCAAGCGTCACAGGTGTTGCGAGGCAGTTTTCGTACGTGAGGATAAAAAAAGATACGGGGAAAAACACGAAAAGAATGGATTTCTAGATTGCGCGCGTGTTGCGGGAAATTGCGCGCGTGTTGCGGGAAATTGCGCGCGTGTTGCGGTCGCTCCGGGCCCACCCTGGGGAGCTCATTCCAAAAAACATACGTAGGGTACAAAATCCATTCGGGACTACTCTCCGGAAAAGAATGCGTCCCCACCCCTCTGCCTGATGCTCACCCTGGAATGGTCATGATGCTACTGACCCACCCTGGGGGGTGGGGGCTCATTCCCATGGAAAGGCAGCATCATGGGCATCCACCCCTTGAAGCACGTGCCCACAGATGCTGTGGCCCAGGGCACATCACACCAAAGTACTTAAAACCCTAAAACCCTATAACCCTATACACCCTATATATTATAGACCCCATATCAACCCGATAAACCCTACACCCAATGCCCGATTAAACCCTATATAACTTTACAGCAGACTACCTCGCAACTTGCAGCGACCGTGCCTAGGTCTAGGTGTTCTTTAGG